TGGACGGAGATTTGAAGGTGATGGGTAGATCGATTTGCCCAAGTGGCACGACCTGCTTTCCAGGCACTATGCTATGGAAAGGTGCTCCGGTCGGTCGGATGTGCGCTCGGTCGATGCCCATAGCGTCGAGCGTCTCAGCGTACATGATATTGAGGCCGCGGCCTCCATCCATCGGAACCTTGGTGAGCTGCTTCGTGCCGATGATAGGGTCGACAATGAGGGGTACCTGCCTAGGTGTGTGACGCTATCCGGGTGGTCGAATCGGTCAAAGGTTATGGGAGACCCTGACCATTTGAGGAAAGTGGGCACGGTGGGCTCGGCTTCGTAGAGCTCTCGACGTGCGAGCTTCTATCGGTGCTTGGAGCCATATGCCTCTAGCCCACCGAAGATCATGAGGCAGCCATCCGACAACGGAAAGCCACCGTCCTTCTCTCTGGTGTCGTCGGCTTCTGCCTCGGGCTTCTTCTTCTGCTCCCATTTCTTGGAGGCACCGATGAAGAAACGCTTCATGAGGGAGCAATCCTTGTACATGTGTTTGATGGGGAAGGTATGGTTTGGGCATGGCCCCTCGAGCAGCGTGTCGAAGTGATCAGGGGTGCCCTCAGACGGTGCTCGACTGGCTTTTCATTCGGCAGTGGCCACAAGCGAGCCCCCGAGCCATTTTTGGTTCTTCTTATTCAAACGGTAGGAGGGGCCTTCGTCAGCGTCCTCATCCCGCTTCACCTTGCCTCTGGAGCAATCAAAAATTGCTCCAACCGCTTCCTCGCTGGAAGCATGGCTGGTCACGATGTCGAGGAGTTCCTTGGTAGTTTGTGGGCCCTTACATCCCAACTTATGGACCAGGGACTCGTAGGTGGTCCCTGATACGAAGGCTCCGATGACGTCGGCATCGGCGACATTGGGGAGCTCGTTGCACTGCCGGGAGAAGCATTGGATGTACTCGTGGAGAGTCTCTCTGGACTTCTATCGACAGTTCTTCAAGTCCCAAGGGTTCCTAGGGCACGCATAAGTGCCCTAAAAGTTCCCCACGAAGATTTGTTTTAGGTCCGCCCAACTCTGAATGCAGTTGGGCGGAAGGTGCTCCAGCCATGTTCATGCCGAGTTGACCAGGAACAGGGGGAGATTACGGATGATGAAGTCATCACTGACCGCACTGTCGACCCGACAGGCGAGCCGGTAGTCCTTGAGCCACAAGTCGGGGTTCATTTCCCTGGAGTATTTTAGGATGTTAGTCGGCGGTGGTATTGGGCCGGGAGCGTCACCTTGAGGATATGCCAACCGAAAGCCTAGGGTCCCGTTAGTTCAGGGCTATGACTCTGGTCCTCCTCATGGTCATAGCGTCCGCCCCGTCGAGGGTGGTAACCGTGGCTAGCCCCCTCCCCCGCATCATTGCGGGTACGCCGGCAGGCGTTGAGGGTGTCGCGCATGTCTCGGTTGTAGCCGAGGCGCTCCTGCACCGGAACCATGATGCATGGCCTATCACCATGCGGCACCTGGTGGACTGATGCATCCTTGTCGGGTCACACTTAGGGCATGCGTTGGCTGGCATCGAGCTCCCATCGCCGAGACAGCGAGCTCTCGGCCTGCTGCGTAGCCGCATGCTCGAGCAATGTGCGAATCTCATGGTGGGCCCATCGATCCTGGGGCGTCGTAGGCTCCGGAAGCCCCCTGAGCAAGGCTGTCATAGCAGCAATGTTCTGGCTTGCCTAGGCGAAGTGTGGGAGTGCTTGATCGTCCTCGATGATCCTCCAGTTCATGTCACGGGCCATGGCGCGTGCGCCCCGTCTCTATGGCATTCGATCTCGCGATCGAGCTCCATGCGTTCCTACTCGAGCTAGAGTCGCGCTTCCTCAAGCCCTACGTGTCGGGCCTTCAGTTGTTCCACCCACAGGTAGGGTGGGGCTCCTGCATCCCCCTCGACCTCGTCGTCGAGGTCATTCATTGGGGTAGCCTCCTCCTCATGGATGCTTTCGACGTGTCCCTCAGGGGTGCCTATCATAAAGCATTCACAAGAGGGGTGATGGCTCCCCCTGCTGGAGTCAGAGCCAGAGGGCGACTCTGGCTCCTCTGTGAGGAGGTCATAGAAAGACAAAGTGACGTGTTCGATCACCCCTATGAACTCGTCGTTCATGGGGGATGGAATCATGCGTTGCGCCACAAGGTGGCCAACGGTCTCTGCGGCGTTACGGAGATCGAACGGGAGCACTATCGGGGTGCTCCGGATGAAGTACTCCGAGGAGAGTGGCTCTCCCCCGGTGAGCTATGCCATGACGTTGGCGAACGAGAAGGTGAGGTGGCGTAGGCCCACGCGAAGAGGAGGACGACACACGCGAAGTACAGGCTGACCCTGTACGCCCACAACGTATGCTGCAGCGGCTCTCACACCAGGGTCCTGTTGGCCGCTGCAGCATACGTGTGGGCGTCGTGCGCCGTTCTTGTCTTCCATCCCACCGAGCAGACGGAATGGTCAAAGGGTCCCCTAACAGAGGCCATACGGGGGCTGGCAGCATAGTGCCAGTCAACTAACGCCGGTTGACTGACGTTGGACGATGGTCAGGCAGGGAGTTGGCAGCACAGTGCTGGCCTATTGACGCAATGGGCTATGTGAGCCTCCCAGCATGGCCGGATACGACCGCCAGTCGCATCAGGACGTGCCCGAGACGTGCTCTCGGGCGTGCGCCTCCATGCCATAGTTGTTGAAATGGTTCGGATCCCACCCTAGGGCCACTGCTTTTGTCCGGTAGCAAATCCGACCCATAGGGGACGGGCGAGGCGGAAATCTCGCCCTGGGGGCCGGGCGAGGCGGAGCCCTCCCCGTGGGGCCGAAGGAGTCGGAGCCCGTGCCCTAGGGTCGGAGGAGTCAGAAACCTCGTCCTCGGAGTCAGAGCCCACACCTTGGGGTTGGACGAGACGGAAACCTCGTCCTCGGAGTCGGAGCCCACGCCTTGGGGTCGGGCGAGGCGGAAACCTCGTCCTCGAAGTCGGATGAGGCGGAAACCTCGTCCTCGGAGTCGAACGAGGCGTGGCCCGGCCCCTGGGGGTCGAACGAGGCCGCAGTTGCATCTTTAATCATCGGATGAGCCGACATGACGCTCATTAATCCTTTGGCTCGGATACCCGAATATAGATATCCGACAGTCATGTATCAGTTCAAGTTACTCTAAGATGGAGGAAATAAAACTCCATCAGAAGGTCGTAGAAGAATACACTACTTTTTTATTTCCCTTACCTTCTTGTTAGTCTCGTACCTATAACATCAACATTTTGTTGGTCCTCATACCAATAACATTGGTAGCATTTTAGATTTATACCTAATTTGATAGATTAACCTGATTTCTTGACAACGTAACAAAAAAACTCCTCAATAACTTGATCGCTTAGACAGTGTAACCGGTAGCACAAATAACCTTGCAAAAACCCCCTCAATTCTCTCTTATTTTACGCCTGGTTGTTAACCCGATGTAACACACGAGTATTATCCATCCACTTCTAGAAATATGAGTTGAGTGACTATTATAGAGAGGGATCTACTATACATATTGCATTACTATCACAAATAGAAAAAAAAATATGAACTATTGTGCATTCTCTTATCAAGGTGACGCTAGAATAATTATATTAAAAGTTTAATAGATTTTTGCCACAATATGTGCCTTAGATAATTGTTAGTGTACTTTTTTGTGTCATGGCTTCGTACAACGTACGGAAATATATCCAGTATATATAAAAAGACCGAGTTATTTAAATAAAATTAAAAATACCCGAGTGTTGTTGCGGCCTCTCCCATGCTGCCCTGTTGGTCTGCTGCTGGCGGCTGTGCCGCTACAGTCTCAACTCTTGGTACTTTACCATCACCACCACCTTGGCTGATAAACCATTATTTGTTGTAAGAGAAAAGTTTAGTTGGCTAAAAAAGTAGTACTCAGAGCATCTCTAAGAGCATCTCCAAGAGTTTGTCAAATTTTACTTAGCAAATCTTGTGATTTGCCAACTCCCAAAATTATATGTCAAGTCAAAAAATTCATCTCCAAGAGTTTGACATTTTTGACTTGGTAAAATAAAAACACCCGTTAACAAAACGAAGAGCCCCGCTAAGCGAACGAAGAGCCCCGCTAAGAAACGAAGAGCCCCGGATGTCAAGCCGTATACGCGCACGTATATTTACGCGCGCGGAGGGAAGATTTGTCAAGTTGCTATTGATGTCAAGTTGTTTTGCCAAATTGTTGGAGGCTAACTCTTGGAGATGCTCTAAGAGTTTGCTATCTCAACTTGGCATCCATATAATTTTGGCAAAACAAGAAAAAATAGCCTTCAACAGTTTGGCAAAACAACTTGGCATCAATAGCAACTTGGCAAATCTTCTCTCCGCACGCGCAAATATACACGCGCGTATACGGCTTGACATCCAGAGCTCTTCGTTTCTTAGCGGGGCTCTTCATTCGCTTAGCGGGGCTCTTCGTTTTGTTAACGGAGTTTTTTTATTTTACCAAGTCAAAAATATCGAACTCTTGAAGATAACTTGTTTTTTTACTTAACATATAATTTTAAGAGTTGAAGTAAAATTTGGGAGATGCTCTCGTATCAAGCAAACATGGCGTTGCAACCCACACGTTAAAACCCTCCACCTCGCCGCGTCCGCCTCCCCTCCATAGGAGGCCTCCGTTTACCCGCGCGCCGAGGAGGCGATCGCCGCCGCCCAGGATGACGCCCGCCTCCCCCTCACTCCCTCCTCCGGCGAGGACTACGACGACCTCTACGGTGACGTCAACGTCGGCTTCATACCCCTTTTGCCGCTCTCCCCCTCTCCGGCTCCGACATCGCCTCCAAAAACCCCATCCCCCGGCCGCTCCATCAAGTTCCCACCCCAGTCGCCGCACCGTCTCCCGCCTCCGGAACCCCTGCCCGCGCGCGCGCCCCAGCGCGAGCCAGAGCCGCAGCCGAGACCCGAAACCGCGCGACACCAGCCGCCGCAGCCTCTTCCGCCCGTGCCGAGACAGCACATGACGCCGCCGCAGCCGCCGCGCCCGCCGCGCGGTGGCGGCGCCTCCTACTCGTCGCCGCCCAGGTGCACGCCGCTGTACATCAGCGAGCTCCACTGGTGGACGACGGACGCGGAGGTGGAGGCCGCGCTCGCGCCCGCGCCGCACGGCGCCGCCGCCGCGCTATACGGCCTCCACTTCTACGCCGAAAAGTTCACCGGCGAGTCGCGCGGAATCTGCCGCGCCGACTTCCTCCATCCAGCCGCGGCCGCCTCCGCCGCCACTGCGCTCCATGGCCACGCCTTCCACGGGCGCCACTGCGTCGCCTCGCTCGACCGCCCGCCCTCCCTCCACCGCCTGGGCGACGACTCCGACTCCTACGCCGAAGCCGCCCGGTCCCCCAACCCTACCAGAGGCCTCGGCAACGGCGGTCGTGGTGTGAGCGATGCGACGGCGGTTCGAGGCAATGTGGCCCCCGCGTTGGGTGATCGGCCGCCTCTGGCGCCACCTCAGCCGTCCGTGGTTCCCCGGCCGACACCTAGCCGGCCGTTCGCTGGCATTTTGGGAGGTGTTGGTGGGTGGGTTTCAGTCGATGGGACAGTACAATGCGGGGATGGGCAATGGTATGATGTCGTCGGCATTGGCACACCACATGAACCCACCGTTCTTTGCAGCTAGTGGGATGGCGATGCAAGGCTCAGGAGCCTTGTATGGTCAGGGGATGCCTGGGGGCTTATGGGGTGCACAGCAGGAATATAATTTCAGAAGTTGTCAAATGCCATGGCAGCAGCTAAGAGCACCAAGGCAGCACCAACAGGCACATCAGCAGTTTGGGAATGGGAACTACGGGAAGCAGGGGCGTGGCTTAAGACGTGAAGGACTAAGTAATAAGAACGAGGAGAGGAGCATTGGCAATGTGAGATATCCGAATAGAAGACAGGCTGACCGTGATGGGGGTGATTATTACAAAGAGAATGATTGTGAGAAGGGTCTCTATCAGGTGCGCATCGTGGACAAGGAAAGGGAGCAGGAGAAGCACTGGAATCAGAGAGATCGACATGGTTGTGGCAATAGGAGGTACCAGGAGTACACTGAGCGTGCTGACCACGATAGGAGAGTACGGGCAAGGTCAAGGAGCCAATCAAGGGATGATGGTGATGATGATCATCCAAGGAGGCGGCGCTAATTTTGCACTCCAGGCAGCATCTCCAGCTAAATGGTAATTGAAACTCTTGGAAACACATTGTTCTATTAGTAGTACGTTCTGTTTCCTCCTATAACTAGTGTAAGTGGTGTATATCTGAAGTTATTATTCACCTAGGTTTTTTTGTTTGGTTCATTTTTGGAGCAATCATTCATAGCGTTCTTGTTCTGAGTTGCAGCTTCTTACATGATTGGTAGATTTCATATATCCCTAGATCTATATTGCAACCAGAAGGTCCTCCCTTTAGTCATATTCTTGTGTAAATGTACATAGGCAGCTCTTGTTGTAACTGACAGGATGGTACCCTTAAGTTAACTCCTTTAGCACCATTATGCATTATGGTGTCTAAAAGAGCGTAGTTTTCGAAACTTGAATGATTGATGTTTTTATCTTCTTATAAGCATCAACTATGATCCTTTTTCTACTTTCAATCTGTCACAGAGATAAGAGATTGATTTCTATTAATTTATTATGTTTCTCCTTTTAGGTTGCATCTTGTGTGAACACGTAGTAGTTAGTTGGTTATTGAGCGTGGTGAATTCTTGCCACTTCTCGTTAGTTACATTGGACTTAGTGCAAAAACAGCTGCTACATTCATCATAATCATGTTGTTTGACTATATTTAGCATTGGTTACATAAACCATTGCCTTGTTGTGTTTTCTTTTTTTTTTCTTTTTTTTTTTTTTGAGGAAAACCATTGCCTTGTTGTTGACTTGTTATCAACATGCCATTTTCTCCTGACTCAAGTGTGTTTATGCCATGTCATACTACATATTCAAGAGTTCTCTCTTCATGGGAACATGCTACTTGAAACATGTAAACTCATTAGTCATTGTTCCTATCACCATGCAATTCATTAATCAGAGTCAGAACACAATATGCTGGAATTCTTTTGGTCACATTGTCTTTTGCCACCTTTGAGCACTTGTGCTAATTAAGTGTTGCATGGTACTGTACAGTTAAGAAAGAACTTATCAGAAACCTGGTAATGAAATAAACATCTGTTATCACAATACCATGCTGTCAGCATAGCACAGAATAGTGGTGATCCTCTAGTGCTTCATCTTAACAGTTAGTAGCATACATGTTTTGGCCATGTATAATATTTAACTGCGCTCATGCATATCTTCCATGCTTATACTGACTGACCATCTACTGGCATATGGTTTCAACATGCTACTCAGAACTAAACAAAGCACTTATTTGGTCGGTTCTATCATGCATGACTGCCAACATATTGAAATAATTGTTATACTTCTGTGATTGCAAAAGGTCGTTATAATTTTCTTAACCAAAGATAAATTTTTGCATTGTAATTTAGCTAATTATTTACTGTCTCTCGAGTTAATATGTATTCATTCCGTTCCAAATTACAGTTCACTTTGGCTTTGTGCTAAATCAAACTTCTCTAACTTTGACCCAAGTTTAAAAATTATAATAAAATCTGCAAGTTCAAATAAATGCAATATCAAAATGTATTTCATGGAGAATTTGATGAAACTAATTTGGTGGTGTATATATGTTGGTGGATTTTTCTATAAACTTGGTCAAAGTTAAAGAAGTTTGACTTAGGACAAAACCAAAGTGAACTATAATTTGGAACGGAGAGAGTATAACTGAATAATTTATTTCATGGAAATCTTGAAAGTGAATGTTAGATTTTAATGCTATGCCAGTTACTTATTGTTTTCCACTTTGAGCTAGCTTTAAGTATATTGTTTTTGCTTCATTTTTGTGAGGCAAGCTTGGCTTTATTGCTGTGAGAATGTTCAGAAAGAGGAAAGGATAAAGACGAGGGGTAAGTGTGGACTGTGGATGCTATAGTGAATCAAGTGGAAAATGATGAATTGTAGTAGGATAGACCTTGTTGATTGTCATGTAACAAATTCTCACATAGCAGTTTCAACTTACTGCTTGCACAATACACTGTGAACAATGTGGTGTATGGAATATAATAGGTGGGATACACCATATTGTTCTTTTGGCTACAGTCGATTGGGAAAAGATCCATTTGATTACTGAAACATACTCATGCAAGATGAACAAACTTTAGTGATTTGGTGTTTTAGGGGTGCTAGCAAGAGAGAAAACTAGGGAGGGTGCAATATGCTGAAGCGGCTAGTGCTAGCTCACAAATGCTAGAACCAGTTGCATAAGTTAGCACCATATGCAAAGGGAGAGAGAGAGACTACTTCTTTGCTAGGAATGCCTTGGCTTGTCGAGCTTATACGCTGGAGCATTGCCTCCAAACTAGCACCTGATATTTCCAGGTTTATAGAATTTAACATTATCATACGTTGTGCTTGCTCTGTACTTTCCAGGTTCTAGCGCCACTTGACGAACCATTAGAATTCTGGTATTTCCATTCCATGCTAGTGCTCGATGTTAGACAAGCGAACCCTGTGTCTCATGAAGAAGATTCTTGCTAGACTTTGTCAGGATACCGGACTACCAGTGGTGTTCTTTCTTTGCTAGGGCTTGAATGTATAGTAGTCTCGTTCCTTAACCATTTCTAAAGCTTCAACTACTGTGGTTTTGAGTAAGGACTTGCGAGTATATTTGTTTTTTTCTTTTTCACATTTGACTTTCACCAGCGATGTTTCTTCCACAGATCTTCATTCAATCTAGAGTTTCTTCATGTTCTCCATTAGATCGAAACACCATTTACATGATTGATTGATTATGCAGTTGTAGTGCTTTCTCGCAAATGTGGATTAATTTGGTATGATTCCTGTTCAAATATGCTGACCCTGTTCATTCATATCTGCAGGCAGATTCATTGCCCGCTGCAGTCCTGTTCAGCAACTTCTGCTCTCCCCGGAGTTTGCTGCAGACACCAAGCGTACCCGGTACCAAATGTCAACTGACTACAAGGAATTAGTAGAGATAACCAGCACAATAAATTTATCTTCTGCAGTAGTTAAACTTAACTTGTGATAATATCGGATAAACCACTCTAAGATGGCGGATTGATTGGTGACTTTGCTTTCGGTGCAGACTACAGTGTTATTTAAATGTAGGTGATCCCTGACTACGGTAATAGACTTAGTATTTTATTTTATTGTTCACAGGCAACATGTTTTGTTTGGTTGAACTTGGATTATCATGTGGATCTGTGGGTGCGGGATGTAGCTCATTTTTCTGAAATGTTTTCCCTGGCGCTCTGCTGCATATGGTGATTCCTGAACATTAACAGATGAGTAGTATGTTTCTATAAGATAGTGATGGATACCTGCTGCATCGTTGATCGCCCTTGTTGAGATCAAATTGAGTGTTGTTGTAGCCTGTATGCCCGTGTCCTGGACTCCTGTATGCCAACTGGATGCTTCGTTCGTGCAGCAGATGCTCTCGGAGCAGCTATACACGGACTATTGTTACAATCGGGCTACAATTTTTTCTGCTCTGCACCCCTCTCATCTACCATAACCTTTGTTACCGTATGCCAAAACGCAGCCCTCATCGAGCCACGTCACCTCATTCGCCGCGGCTCCTTTCCCGTTCCACCTGCCCACGCGCAGGACCGTCTCCTGCCCGAGCTGACCACCCAGGAGGCAAAAAAAAACACGACAAAAAAAAAGGGATCGAGCCTCGAACCTTCCTCCTTCCTCCCTCGAACTCCGCCGACGGCTCCCGCGCCTCCACTGCCGCGACCACGCACGCCGCGTCCAGGCGCCCAGAGGTGTCGCCGCCTTCGCCCCTGCCCTTCGGCCGACCCCCGCCGCGGTCGCCTCGGCAGCCGTTTAATTATTTATTTGGAACAAATATTTACACTGACAGAACAAACATTTACACCATTAGAACATTTTTAATGCATAATGAGGGTGTGAGTCCGTTTGTTTCCCCCAAAACGTACTAGAACAGATGATGCAAACGTATGTTATGTTGCAATGAGTATATTAGCAGGAGTAGTTGTCATGTCTCGGGGGTGCTTGCGAGGGAAACTGAAGCGGAGAACACCGGCGACGGCCGGACGGCGAGATGCGTGGCCCACCGGGAAGTGTCGGTTTGGTGGGCTGCCGCCAGAGTGCCCGCGCTGAGGGCCAGTGGTTGTTGCTGTTAGTTGGGCCGCGACATCTTTTTTTTTCGCGACCGTGCGTTAGCATGCTGGGCCGCGACATCCAGTGGCAACGCGCCCGGGGGAAGTCATGGGCCGGGCACGGCCGTTCGGCGTACACAGCCGAGGCCACAAAAACCGGTTGTTCATGGTCCGGAACGGAAGCAGAAAGTACTGGGAGTTGGCTGATCGCCGCCGGTCGCCGGATATACATACACTGTACTGTACACGTCTACGTCTGTACCGGCACATTTCGGTGCGGCCGCCGGCCGGTGTAATGGTCGCGGCGGAGAGGTCGGGCGGTCTATCCTAGTCCATACATACACGGATGCATGTGCATGCAGTTGGGACGTTGGGTGCTGTCTCCTGCTTTTTTGGATAACCCAACCATATTTCCTTCCAAAGCACAGAGAGGCAGGCGGCGGGCGGGGAGTTCCTTTCGGTGAACCGACACCGACCGCGGCGAACCTTGTCAACTCTTGGATCGGCACTTGGGTTGGGCAGCAAGGTTGGCGCGCCCGCGCCCAAAATAATGGGCCGCGGACGGGAACAGCGCAATGCCATCGCCGGGCGGCTTTCCATTTGGTTAGTTTGTCGGCCAGACAATCGCGCCCGCGACGGCGCATGCACACGCGCCCGCGCGCGTGGCTGGCAGTGGCCGCTCTATGCCGCCGGCCACCGCCCGCCGGCATGCAGATGGAGCCGGAAGAGGCCCGTGCATTCCGCTTGGCGCCTGCCTGCCTGGCTACCTAAACTATCTTTTCTCCTCGTCCCATCGGAGGCGGACTGGCCAAACCGCCAAATGCCTCCTTTCGCGGACTGGCATAAAGCCAACACGTGCAGAAGCCCCCGATGTTGCTTGGCTGCCTCGCCCACGCAGAGAACACGGGAGCTGCCCGGCCGCTTGCTTCGCGCACGCTACGTTAC